ACAAGGACAGGTAAAGAGGTCTTGAATGGGTAGAAACTTCCTATCTCTAATTAAAGAGAGAGTGGCCTTCAAGACAAGGTGTAAATATATTCTGAGCAATTCAGATTGTATAGAGCTGCTGTATATTGGTCCCCTGAAGGCCTTCCTTCTATCTTCAACTTATTAAGTTCATTGGGACAGTGACAGGTAAAAGATTTTTAAAAACCATGCTGTTCACTCAAAAAGGATCCCATACAGGCTCATGTAAGAACAAAGAAATCTATGCCTTTAGTTTTACAACATAAAAGAAAGTCTGTGAAAGGAAAACGCTGAGAAGAGAAGAAGAAAAGGAAACATAGGCAACAATTCCAAAATTTACAAATTCTAATCTTCACCAAGGGGAGCAGAAAAAAAATTGAAGAACAGAAGGTCTTTCAGCAATCAAGGGAGAGATTGTGTAGGCCCATCCATCTTTTTTCAGAAGGTTAATGAAATTTGCTTGCCCAATTCTCCTTTCCAAATCAGGGCTGTGGACAAGTAGGCAAAGAATTAGAGATTTAGGAATATTTGCAGCACTGACAGATATGTATTACTGAAGCCAAAGATTTGTCCCTGTAAGTTGTCTGAATGAGAGGTCACTTAGAAGTCATCTGTAAGCTGTTCTAGGCTTTCTGGAAGAGCAATGGGCAAGTGGAACTGAAGCCTGATCAACAATAGCCTGGAAGGAAAGATACATCTCTTCTGGCAAGTACCTGAAACATTACTCATCGAATGTCCTTTTCTACCACAAGAGTTCACAGACTTCCACATTTCTTAAGGCATTGCTAGAACATTGCCTCTGGCAATTTGCGCTTTTGATTTACTTGCCATGTGGACACAAAAAATAACTATTTTAGCAGCTTCTTTATTCTTAGGCCCAATGTAGCCGCCTGCTCTCTGTTTTTTGTTTTTCTCAAAGAGACAAGTGGGAACCATTTAGTGTTACTTTCAGGAGAGGACCATATAAGCCAGTGTTGTCCAAACTTGGCCACTTTAAGATGAGTGGACTTCAAGTTCCATCATCTGCTGT